TGGTTTGGGATTATCTGATTAATTTATGCCAACTGTTTCGACATATAAAAAAGAGAAAACAACCAAAAACATATTGTGTTGTTTTGTTTTAAAAGAATAGGCAACTTTTATTTGTATTTATTATAATTATTTGTTATTCTTTTCTATTTTTGTTCCAGTATCAATCAACAAAAAGTCAAAAAACCAATATCTTTAATTTTAGGTATAAATTATCTAGAATACTTTTTCTATAAATTGATTAAATTTTTAAAAGTAACCCACTTCAAAATTTATTTTTTCAGTTTATAATCATCAAAAATTGATTTAATATCCCAATAAAAACAGGTCAATCAAAAAACAATGGCGTTATTTTAAGTGTTAAGAAGTTTGTAAAAAACAATTATTTTTAAAACTTTGTTGTTTGATATTTGTTTTTATGACTGACTTTTAAGTAATTTTTTGTTGACCTTGTTTTAAAAATCGTTGTTTAACATCAATAAAATATACAACACTTTAATTAAGTATGACTGTTGTAAAACAGACAAATGAAAAATAATTTATGTGTATGTAACTAATAATTATAAAAATTGATCATTTCAAATTAATATAGTATTTATTAATAAACTTATTAAATTATTTGTATAAATAAAGTTATAATAATTTATAATAATTATGTAATTAAATTGTTATAGATTAAAAAAAGTTCAGTTATTATGGATGACAAGAATAATTATGAGCGCAAAGCTTTAACGCAAAAGATCACTGAAATTTGGACTATAACAGTTATTGACATTGGCACTTTGTTTTGTAATTATAATGATGATTTAGCAAACATTAAAAATAACGAAACTAAAATAAAACAAATAATTTAGTCAGTTATATGATCAATACAATTTAATTCAATTATCAAAAACTTAAAAGAAACATTTCTTGGCAACCAAGTTAAAACAACAAATTTGAACTTGATACATCTTTCAAGTTACCAACAATTTGCAAAAACTGTTCAAAGTGACTTGTTTATTGTTTATTAACCAGTAAATTGAATTATTTTCCACGTGAAAGTGTCAAAGTGAAAACATAATTAAAACCATCACAGCCATTATTTTAGTGTATTACATGTATATTTTCAGGATTTATTACAAATAAAAGTGTCTCGATAATATAATTGAATTCTTTGTCCAGCTCGATATTATTATGAATCATAATAATAAATATAAAAACCAATAACAAATGGTTATTTATATTAGAATATAGTTAATCATTTAAGTCGACTTTTTATGAGAGATTTAAATTATAATAATTGAAGTCTTATTATTATAATCAAAAAATAATAATATTACTTCTTTAAAACTTCGTTTGAAGAAGTATTTGTATTTAAATTAAACAATTTTTATTGAGTTATTTATACAATATTTTTTTGGTTTTATTGATCATTAGAACAAAGTTGGTATTCTTTGTGTTTCGAAACATTTTTATACACATTGATTGTTTTGAAAATTGTTGATTACGTTTATCATAAAGGGGCTCGTTTTGTATTAATTTAATTATAATATACAAAATTATAATAAAAATAATCAAAGGTAACTTTTGGAAAAGTGTAGTAAAAATATTTAAGAATACAAATTGTTGCATAATCATCAATAATTTTTTAAACTTTTTGTTATAGTTTTACATTAAATTTTATTATTTTTTATATTTAAAAATATAGGTATTTTTTTTCTTTCATTACAATTATTATTAAATAAAGTTATTTAATAACTCTATTAACTCTACTAACAAAATAAAAAGAATGAAAAAAACTAAATTACATCATTACAGCTTCTCTGTGTTCATCAAACGATCTTTCGAAAGTTCTACAGCTTTGGAGTTTGATTTGATACGCCTTAGACACAAATTTAAGGTGTCTTTAAATTCTGGGAAAGTTGTTATATTGAATGTGGTTTT